AAGTTCTGTATATTAATTTTTTGTATTCTGCCTCCGGTAATTCCAAGAAATTCTCTTCCTCTGGAATATTTCTTGATTCTTTGTTTTGGGAGCGTGCTGAAGCCATCATGGTTTGCCTCTTTATGTGATTTGATATTGACTCTTGTCTCCGAGCCATCAATAAGTTATTAATTTATTTTATATTTGCTTAGTGTGTCCTAGCTTCGTTTTGTTTTGTTTTGATATGCGAAAATAGGCTGCTTGTGTGAGCTAGCCCTATCACCAGCACCCCTGAAGCTCCAATGTCCTACCACCAACTGGCCTACTTGCTACTAAGTATGTGAGCCCAGGAGTCTGCCCAGTCCTCCTGTATGGATTCAGCTCAGGTGTCCATTAGTCAGCCAATAAGTGTGTGGTGCAGGCTCTCAACTACAGTCCTAGACAGGCATGGGTGATTGGTGTAGGCACATACATCCAGCTGCAGCAGGGGGTCACACACTGAGCAAGGCAGGGGGCCGATGGCCACCCTTGAGTGTCCGGGAGGAAAGCGTGTCCCTGTTCCCTAGAGCACATAAGTGGGTGGGTTTTGCAGCCAGACTATGAGAACCCAATGCTGTTAGAAGTAAGGACTGGGGGGCACCACTTATTCTTGGACCCCTGTCGCAGGTGGCTAGATGGCATGGGTGGAGCCACCAGTCCTCAGGCCCCCAGTGTGGGCTGGTGAGGAACCTGCCCAATGGGTAGAGCAGTGTCAAATGTCACAAACCTGCCAACCCACAGCTGAAACAACTGAAGTTAGATTTCATGTATATACCCTGTTGTACTGTGGTAATGAGGGCTTACACTGTTGAAATGCGCCCACACAAGTCTATGCAGGCGTCTTAGTCATTTAGTGCTGCTCTAACAGAAACACCATGAGTGGATGGCTTTAACAAAGAGAAGTTTATTTTCTCACAGTCTAGTAGGCTACAAGTCCAAATTCAGGGCATCAGCTAGAGGAGAAGACACTCTCTCTCTGTCGGCTCTGCAGGAAGGTCCTTGTGATGCGTCAGTCTTCCCTTGGTCTGGGAGCATCTCAGCACAGGAACCTCAGGTCCAAAGGACACACTCTGCTCCCAGCACTGCTTCTTTGTGGTGTGAGGTTCCCATGTGTCTCTGTTCGCTTTTCTCTTTTATGTCTCAAAAGAGATTGGATTAAGACACTATCCAATCCTGTATACCTCATCAGTATTACCTCGTCATAGTGATAGAATTTACAACACATAAGGAAATCACATATAACCTCATCATAGTGATAGAGTTTACAACACATAGGGAAATCACATCAGATTACACAATCATACAATACTGGGAATCACAATCTAGCCAAGTTGATACACATATTTTTTGGGGGACACAATTCAGTCTGTGACATTCCACCCTTTGGTTCCCCAAAAATCACATCCTTGCAACATGTAAAACATATTTATCCCATCATATCATAGCAAAAGTCTTAAATCAACTCCAAGTCTAAAATCCAAAAATTCCTCATCTGTGAAATCTAGAATACAAGTTATTAGCTTCCAAAGGTACAATGGCAGAACAGGCACAAGCTAGACATTTCCATTACAAATGGGAGAAACTGGAGGAGAAGAAGGGATAACAGGCACAAAGCACGTCAGCAGAACACATTACATTAGCCCTCAAGGCTTTGAAAATAATAATCTTCTGTTCTCTGAGACAATTTACACAATAGCCCTGCCCTCCAGACTCTAGGTATTGGCCACAGTCTCTGGATTCTGAGTGGAAGCCCCTCGGCCCTGGGCTTCAGCTCCACCTTCCAGGCCTAGTGGGATGGCAATTCTGCTCCCTCAGCTTCAGGGGCACCATTCTCCTAGTCCATCAGAGTGACAACTCCACCCTTAGAAACACCAGAGGCCATGGCTCCACCCTTTGAAACCCCTGAGGTCATGGCCATACCTTTTGAGACTGAGGCAGCTCAGCTTCTTGTGTTCCTTGTCTCCAGCTTCTGCTTCCTGTGGCCTCTTGGCACTTGGGCGTCACTCCTGTATCTGCCCTGCTGGGGCAACTGTTCCAAAGCTCACTAGCTCCACTGACGATAACTGCCCAGAGGCACCCCACTCCGCCAGGAAGCCTCCTGCACACAGGCACTCAGCTCTCTTGCTCCATGGGTCAGCTCCAGCGGTGTCTAGCACTGGTCTCCTGGTTCTGCTGCTGCTGGTTCTCTGCTGCTGCCCCTTCTCTGCTGCTACAGGTTCTCTGCTGCTGCTGGTCCTCTGCCACTGCCGCTCCTCTATCTATTCTCAGTTTCAAAGCCACTTCCACGTTTCAGGTATCTGTTAGAGCAGCACTCCACTGTTGGTACCAAATTCTGTCTTAGTAATCTAGTGCTGCTCTAACAGAAACACCATGAGTGGATGGCTTTAACAAAGAGAAGTTTATTCTCTCACAGTCTAGTAGGCTACAAGTCTAAATTCAGGGCATCAGCTCCAGAAGAAGGCCCTCTCTCTCTGTCAGCTCTGGAGGAATGTCCTTGTGAGGCATCAGTCTTCCTGGTCTGGGAGCATCTCAGCACAGGAACCTCAGGTCCAAAGGACACACTCTGCTCCCAGCACTGCTTTCTTTGTGGTGTGAGGTTCCCATGTGTCTCTGTTCGCTTCTCTCTTTTATGTCTCAAAAGAGATTGGATTAAGACACTATCCAATCTTGTATACCTCATCAATATAACCTCATCACAGTGATAGAGTTTACAACACATAAGGAAATCACATCAGATTACACAATCATACAACACTGGGAATCATGACCTAGCCAAGCTGATACACACATTTTTGGGGGGAAACAATTCAATCTATGACAGCAGGGGTGAAATGCATTCAAAGTCCATGGACCCCTTATGCCTGTGCCTAGGCAAAGGAGCTGTGCCTACCCTGAGTTCCTGGCTTAGGGGAGCCGGCAGATTATTTTTCCCCTGTTTGTTAACTTGTTCCCTCTCCAAGGCAGGGAGAATGGCTCAGGGCGCGTGATGGGTCCTAATTCTTATTCTTGCCCAAGGGATACGGCAATAGCTGAAGCCAGCCCAGGACTGGTGCAGAGTGGGGAGTGGGGAGGTAAATGGGAGAGAGTTATCTGATCCACCCTGTAGGCCAGATGCAAGTACTTATCTTTTGCTGATTGATGCTCCTTTTCACTGGTTCCGGATGTCCAAGTAGACTCTCTGCCACTGGGTCTCTCCCAATGTGGAAAACGCCTCCCAAGCGCCACCAGAAGCAGTTCTTTAGGGAAGTAAGGCAGGTGTTTACAAGGACTCCACTAAGCTTCCTATTATGATGTTGAAATTGTTCATAGAATAGTAATAATTTTGGTAAAAAATGTCCTTAAAGTGGAGATATATGCTTCCTCTATGGATTATAATCACAGCTTTTCTGAAGTAACCTTGACATGACCTACAATTTAGGAAAACCAGTAACAAACTGCACATTATCAAATAAACAGCCATACTTGGTTCTGTCTAAACTCATGAGAGCAGTGAATGGAGGGACCTGTGATTCAGAAGCCCAAGGGTTCAGTTAATACCTAAGTTCCTTTGTACAAGTTAGTGCACCTCTCTCAGCTCCAGTTTTACTTGTAAACTAAGACTCTTGGACTAGAAGACTAATAAACCTTCCAACTTTGATTTTGGAAAACAAATTAGTATATTGGCCGTGATAAACTGAATAATGACACCTCCCCCAAATATGTCCATGCCCTAATCCCCTGGAACCTGTGAATACTTTACCTTACATGGTAAAAGACAAATGTGATTAAATTAAGGATATTGAGATGGGGAGATCAGCTTGTATTAGCTGGGTGGGTCCAGTGTAATCACAAAGGTCCTTATAAAGGAAAGAGGGAGACAGGAGGGTCAGAGAGAAAAGACATGAGTGTGAAGCAGAGGTCAGGGAGGAGAGTTGGCTACTCTGCTGGCTTTGAAGATGGAGGAAGGGGTCATGAGCCAAGGAATACAAGCAGCCTCTGTAAGTTGGAAGAGGGAAAGGATTCCCCCCTAAAGCTTCCAGAAAGAACACAGCCCTGAGATCCCATTTTAGACTTCTGACCTCTAGAACTGAAAGAGAATAAATCTGTACTGTTTTAAGTCACTAAGTTACAGTGGCAATAGGAAGCTAATACAGTGGTTAAGAACTTGGGCTCTGCTATTAGACTACTGGAGTTTAAGTCCCTCTTCTACCCTTTACTGGATATATGATCTTGAGCAAGCTATATAAACACTGTATCTCAGTTTCACCTTGGAAAAATGGGATGATGGTAACAGCACCAAACCTGCAGGGTTGTTATGAAGTTTAAATGAGGAAATCTTTAGAATCATCTTAAATTTAGTAATTTCTTAATAAATGTAGCCATTGTTCTTCTGCTAAGATTTATAATTTAAGATACGTATTCCTTCTTCCATAAATTACATCTTTCTTTTTAAATAATCATGGAGGAGGAGGGGTGTTGGAACATCTACTTTAGGAGTTCTGCGTACAGAATCTCCTTTGGTCCTATTTGTGAAACAGAGGTATAAGTTTTCATATGAGAACATTGAGGCGTTCTCCAGTCACATAGCTAGTAAGTGGCCAAATTAAAGTGGCTTGTTCACCATTGCCATTAACACCTATTTGCTTCATGATGAATCAATGAATGAACGAACACGTACAAATAACTACAGCAGTGAACACGCAACCAGTAAGAGGAAGTCTACATTGACTGACACTAGGTCTCCCCATCTGATGCACACTGTGGTACAATTTCCAGCTCTGTAGCACATATCCCTTGCTTCCAGAAAGGTCGGAAGCAGCGAGAAAGAGGCACCCGGACTAAAGGGCATTTACCTTCAGGGAGGCACCTTCCACCTGGGGAGACATCTCCCACTGCCCTGAGCAACCGCGCTCTCAAACGAAGGTGGCGACACAAAGGCGAAGCCTACGTGAGGCAAGGCCCTAGGACAGAAGAGGGGCGGGGCCTCCCCAGAGGCCAGTGCGCGACCGCAGAGCACAGCCCGCCCCTTGCTCCGCCCCCGGGGAGATTCGGCGCCACCATGGAGGAGTACCATCGCCACTGCGACGAGGTACCGCCCCTCGGCCGCCTGCGAGCGACCCCCGCCCCCGCCCCATCCCGGCGCGGGGTCTCTGCTGGCTGGTCTCCGGGCGCGGGCGCGGGGCGGCCCGGAGAGTTGGACTGCGGCGTCTTCCAAGCCTGGGTCCCTCCTCGGAACCGGGCATCCGCCCCGCCCGTCCTGGTCCCACCGAACGCGGGGCCCTGAGGGTGGGCTCGGGGGCTGGAAGCCTGGGTGGCCAGGGCGGCAGGAGCGCTAGGGGCAGGCGGTGGAGCCGGGGCAAAGGGCTGGGAGGCCTGACTTGGTGTGCGTGGGGTGGGGATGGGGTGGCGGGCACCGCCCATCTGCCAGGCGGGTCTTGGGAACCGGTCTTCCCGGCTGCTTCCTCCGCCCCTTGGCGTCTCAAAGCAGGTGCCGCAGTCCCGCGGATCAGGGTGCTGGTGGCAGAGCTACTCCCATCCTGAGAGCTCTCACCTGGGTGGGCTGGAAGGAGGTGTTTTATGGATTAGGAACCCTTGCTTGCTGACTCTGGCCTTACAAATCCTCACCAGAACCTCATGATGTCACATCTTATCTTCTTGTTACTGTTGGGGACTCTGAGTTTAATGGCGGTTTAGTGACTTGCCCAAAGTTAAAACTGCCAGGAATGACAGATGCTCAGTTTGATCCCAGGCCTCTGACTACGCATCCCTTGCTTTGCTTTAAGCACTAGGAGGATGAGGCCTATTGGATCTCAGCATAACCTGTGACAGGCTTGGAAGGGCAGATTAATCAGAGGCATTTTCTGTCCAGTGGAAGCCACGGGTGAATGATGCAGAAAAAATAAAAGTGCAGTATAAAATGGTATTGATTGGATCCGTGGAAGGGTCTTCTGGTCCATTGGGTGGCATCTTTCAATGTGGGCTTCTGTAGAAATTAAAGCCACATTTAAATTAATTAGTTCTGTGAAGCAGGTAGCTTACATACTTACTTGAAGGTAAATGGTTAAATGTTGTAATTTTAGAAATAGAGACTTGGGGAAGTTGGGAACCAAGAAATTCAAAGCCTAGCTCACCCTCAGAGGCACACCCCCAACAAGTTCTAGTCTTCTATTCCTAGGAGGGTTCTTCACTGCAGTACCTCCTAAATATATTTAAAAATAAAATTACATGTGTTGCCATAGCCATCCAGTACATCCTGATTATTAGGTAATTTTAACTGAAAGATTGGAGGTTAGAACTCTCCCAGAGGCACCTCGGAAGAAAGGCTTGTCAGTCTACTTCCAAAATATCAGCCATTGAAAATCCTATGGCGTGCCTAAATCGACTTCCATGGCAACTGGTTTGGTTTTGGTTTCCCAGTTGAAATGAAATGGGCCTAATTTGATTTGTAGGCTAGTTTTGAAACTAAATAAGGAGCTGATTTTAAGGAAACTGATAGTTTTAATAGGGCCAAAACGTGAAACTTCTTTTCATAGTACTTCTAAATATGTAGTTACACCTTTGATATTGGGGAATTCTGTGGTGTACTTAAATGAGTAATTCTGTACTCAAGATGATATATGCCAGAAACTGTTGTTTTCAGAGTTTGCTTGTTTGGACTAATTTTAAGTTATACATGTGTAGTGTTTTTTTACAGAAATGCTGATGTCATAAAACACATAAAAATGTCTCCATGGGAGCAAATCATGTGTTACCTCAAGTGTCTTGCTTGGTTTAGATTTCAGTCTTATCACATAGCCTAGTTTTGTACTCTAAGACACTTGGATGTAATTAATACTTGCTTTTAATTCAGGATTCTAACAAGCCACTCCAAGGAAAAGACTCTTTCCAGACCTATTTTTATAGCACTAAAGTGATAAAAATTTTGAATTAGGAAGTCAGTTCATAAAATTTAATTCAGGAAAGTCACATTCTTACCTAGGACAAGTTAAAAAACAAAATTGAAAATTATTAAGCATTCTCTTCTCATGGACCATGTCATTCTCTCACTTCTCTGCAACTATTTCCTGTATACTGATAACATAAATCTTCATATCCGCTCCCTGCTTATTTCTCGAATTTTATAATGCAATGATCTCAATCTAGGATGTTCATCAGAATCACCAGTAAAGTTTTGTTTGTTTGTTGTTTTTAATGTAGTAGCTCAGGCCCTGCCCTAGACCTAATGAATCAAAATCTCCAGGGAGGTGGGTGGGAAAAGTGTTTTGCATTTGTTAAAAGTGTTCTGGGTAAGATTGGCAGCTATGGTAGGCCTGATGGTCCTTATCACTATGGTCTCCTATCACTAACACCTGCCTAAGCCAGTTTAGGATATTCTGTGTATCATCAACTCTACAAATAAAAGGAAGTTTGTGTTGAAAGCAGCTTTATCTTTTGTTTTCCCCTTTAGGTTGGTTTTAATGCTGATGAAGCCCACAATATCGTTAAGGAGGTGAGTTGCACATTTTGTTCATCTTGAAGCATGCTTCATTGATTGAGATTTTTAAACAGTTATATATTTTGACTTTAAATATAAAGTTAGAAACCTTAGTGTTAAAACAACAAGATTTTAAATATTTATTCACTAACTCTCCACAGGGGTGCCTCTATTTTTATTGTATGCTGTCAGGCATCTTGGGGCTTACTCTAAAAGATGTTTAAGTACTTTCTTAGCCTAGAAAACTGGTTTTCTATATTCTAAAATTGATGTTATATCTTTTGAATAAAATAACTTTGATTCAACTAGGGCCAAATATTATTTTAAATGTTAATGTTATAAAAGTATGTGTGTGTGTGTGTGTGTATATGTACATATACATGTGTGTGTGCATGCAGAGCCTTGGTGGCACAGTGGTTAAGAGCTACAGCTGCTAACCAAAAGGTCGGCCGTTCAAATCCACTAGCTGCTCCTTGAGGCAGTTCTCCTCTGTCCTGTAGGGTCGCTATGAGTCAGAATCTACTCGATGGCAGTGGATTTGGTTTTTGTTTTGTGTGTGTGTGTGTATCATATATATATACATATATATGCACCAAAAAAACAAACCCAGTTGCTGTCGAGTTGATTCCAACTCATAGCGATTCTATAGGACAGAGCAGAGTAGAACTGCCCCTTAGGGTTTCCAGGGAGCGGCTGGTGGATTCAAACTGCCGACATTTTGGTTAGCAGCCAAGCTCTTAACCACTGCACCACCAGGGGTCTGTGTGTGTATGTATATATATATGTGTGTGTGTATATATATATATATATATATATATATATATATATATACGTATGTGTATGTATATATACATACACATACATCTGTATATATAAGAGCCCTAGTGGCGCAATGGTTAAGTGCTCGACTGCTAACCGAAAGGTCGGCCATTCAGACTCACCAGCTGCTCCACAGGAGAAAAGACATGGCGATCTTCTCCCTTAAAGATTACAGCCTAGGAAACCATACGGGGCAGTTCTACTCTGTCATATAGTCACTATGAGTCAGAATCAACTCAACGGCACACGACAACAACGTATATAAAATAGATAAGTATATTGGATCAACTAGATAATAGACCCTAGAAATGTCTGCCTTTGGACATTGTATGCTTTTTCTTTTAAGCCCAATATAATAGGAACACTAATTGATTAACATCTTTTAGATGTACTGGTATGACAGTAAATCAAAATCTTAAGAAAAATATTTGGAACATGAAATTTGATTCTCCTGTTAGGCAAATAGAAAAAAAAGTTCCTCTTTGGGAATCAGTTCTAGCAGCGGAACTTTAATTATTCTAGTAATATCACATATATACTATACTGTGAAAAAGGATAAGATATTTATGAACACTTAGTCCTGAGTCATTTTTAATTCTATGAAATCCTAAAGCAAAATGATCTGGCCCATTTTGTATTGTAGCAGGCTTGTATTGTGAGTCTGGCTATTGGGACCTATATCCTAGTAGACCCTAACTGCCTTTCGTCTGGGGTAAATTGGATATGCCCCCTGGGCATTGTGCACATCATCAGTCCATGTGGAAACAATGCCACACCTGCCTGAATGCGGCAGGAACTAACCCAGAGCTCACTCAGGCCTGGTCTTATACAACTAGGATCAGCTTGAAGTCTGAGAGGGCTAGATGGGTACCTGAAAATCCTGCCACATTCTAATAGCTCAAAATCATGTATTAAAACTGTATTTCCCAGGAATATTTGTTATAACAGAATGCAAATGTTGTCAATACCTTGACAACGTAAAAGTACAAATGAGGGAACTCGGAGGGGAAGTAAAGGGAAGGGACAGAGTGATAATAACCTCATTGTACAAAGTGGGAAGTCAAGAGAGACTGTTCTTGGTCAGTGGAACTTGAAGGAAAGAATGCTGGGGTCCTTAAGGGGCCTTTTAAATAGTACCTTCTTCTTTACCCAAGTTCTGACCCAGGTGAAAAGACGAAAGAGTCACTAGAAAGAGAACAAAATATCACTTTCATTATGGAGATTGTAGCTTAGTTTACTAACTCCCTACCCACTCATTTCAGGCTTTGGAAGAGACCTCCCAGGGAAAGTGAGTCAACAGAAACACTAGCCCAGGCTGGTGCCCTTCACTGATCTGGGTGGAGAGGGACAGAGAAACCAAACGCCCAAGTCTAAGAACTTTGGGAGATTAGCTCTCCTAGGTGGGAATGATGGAATAATGATTGTCACCTACCAGTGAGGTAACTCACTACACCTCCATGGGGAGGAATAACGGTTAGGACAAGAGGCCAGGAATGTTAAGGAAAAATCCTACGTGGGGAAGAAAATATCAGGAATGGGGAAAAATGCTCTTAACAGTGTAAATACATGGAACGAAAAATAGTGAATTCACTGTATGGAGAGAAGGGGAGGAGGAAGATGGCAGGTGGTCTGAGGGAACTACGTTTTCATCTATCATAGCAGGAGCTCTGTGGATGTTGTCTTTAATTGACGAGAAACAGTGATATATTTGGAGATATGTAAGTAACCCTTAGAAGAAATAAAAACAAACAGGTGCAATACTAAAAGTGTTTTCCTCTGGTGAATAGGACTGGGGGTGGGAAAGGGTGGGAAGGCATTCTTGCTTTTCATTGTAACCCCTTCTATCCCGTTTGAGTTTTAAAACCATGTACGTTTGTTACCTTTATTTTTTTTTTTTTAACTTAAAAGATCCGTGCTTCTTAAATCTTAAACTGGTATATATAAACTCGGCAGTGGCTAGGTGGTGCTAGAAGCCACTGGATACATTTAGAGCATCAGTTTTACCTAAATATTTGGGAGAGTGAGTTAAGTAATGTACATCATTTAACTGAAAATATTTTTAAATAAAAACAAACTCTGATACATTATGGAGTCAAAAGCAAACTCCATGTGAATTTTTATATGAAATATGAGACCTTAAAGAAATCTCAGGGATGCTACAGGTTACTTTAGCTACACATCAATCCTCTTCTCTCTTCCCATGAGGCAACTCTCTTCTACCTTTGAGGCATTTCATGGGAAATGCTTGAGAGAGAGGGCTATATTAAAATATTTCAGCACTTCCTAGATGATTACCTCAATTTCAGCAGTTATTTCTGTTTTCCTTATCTCTTGCTGGCATTCTTATTTTCTTTGATTCCTCACTCTGACCCCCTATACTTTACCGCTAAAGTCTTAGAGTCACTCACTTATCAGTGATGTGATATATTTTATTTATTATCAGTAATAGAATTTACCCAAAAAAAATCTTCAAAGAAGAATGAGTTACAAATGGAATTAATTTGAAAGTTAGTATAAAGTATATCTGATTTAGGATCCCAGGCAGTATATCAAAGGCAATATTATTCCAACAACAAATGTTAATTGAGTTATCTGCAACATTGCCAGGTCCTGAGCTGGGCTCTGGGAATACAGTGCAGTTTAAAGATCTCATTGTCTAATGGGCCTCCTGGTTAATGGTAATTAAGAAAGCTAATGTTGATTAATAGTAGGTCCCTAGGTAGTGTAAATGGTTTGGCCTCGACTACTAACCTAAAGGCTGGTGGTTCAAACCCACCTAGTGGCTCCATGGGAGAACGACCTGGCGACCTGCTTCGGTAAAGATTAAACAAACAAACAAAAACAAACCCATTGCCGTCTAGTCACTTCTGACTTGTAGCTGCCCTATAGGACAGAGTAGAACTACCCCATAGGGTTTCCAAGGCTGTAATCTTTACAAAAACAGACTGCCACATCTTTCTCCTGTGGAGTGGCTTGAACCTTTCGGTTAGCAGCTGAGCGCTTAACCACTGTGCCACCAAGGCTCCTTCCAATAAAGATTACAACCTAGGAAACCCTCTGGGGCAATTCTATTCTGTCACAGGGGGTTGCCATGAGTCAGAATCAACTTGATGACAGCAATGGATTTATTTACAGTAGGACTCCCCCCGAAAATGGTGTCTACCATTGTTTAGAGCAGAACTTGGAGTGGTCCTTTTAGATAACCTGAAAAAAAAATGAGTGTTCTTACTTTCTCATCGGGGAAAGGCAGTCTGTTGTCATTAGGTGCCATAAAGTTGACTTTCAACCGATAGCAGCCCCATGTGACAGAGTCCCATAGTGTTTTCTTGACTGTAATCTTTAGGAAAGGAGATCGCCAGGTCTTTCTCTGGCAGAGGCCCTGGGTGAGTTCAAACCATCAACCTATTAGTTAGCAGCTGAACACTTAACCATTGTGCCACCTGGGCTCCTATAAATCTTTACCACAATCTAACTGAAGTAAATGAAAGCTGTATGTGTGTGCACACACTTTAAGCTGGATTCTATAAATGAATTGCTTTATTATTCAGGCTCTATTACTTGAATATAAACTAACAATAGCATCAGCAATAATAATGTCTAACATTGGCACAGTGGTTAAAAGCTTGGCTGCTAAACAAAAGGTCAGCAATTTGAATCCACCAGCCACTCCTTGGAAACCCTATGGGGTAGTTCTACTCTGTCATACTGGGTCGCTATGAGTTGGAGTTGACTCTATGGCAACGGGTTTTTTAACATTATTTAAGTGCTTACTCTGTGCCAGTCACTATGCTGAGTGCATTCATTATCTCATTTCATCCTCACACAACCTGATGATGCTGTTATTCCTATTTTAAGTATTAGGGAAATAGGGGCTTGGAGAGTTTAAGTCACTTGCTAAAGATCACACAATAAGTAGGTGGTAGAACTGGCCTTAAAACTTAGAACTGTGATACTAAAGCCAGTGCTCTTATCGGGTGTCAGTAGTGGATGCAAATAAGCAGTATGGAAAATTATTTAACTTTCTCTTTTCTAGAGCACCTGAAAAATGGTGTTTGTTGATCATTTACTTTCAGTGGCACATGTGCTAGTTGTTTTGTAGCTAAGCAATTACATATTATAAATGAGGATATAATTTTTATGTATGAGAAGTATATTTTTTAATTAGCCCCATCCTATGTTTATAGCAGAGCTTTGAACTGGTTCATTCTAGTTCAACCCCTGCTGAGAATTTGCATTTCCACTCCCAGATATACTGAATCAGAATCTACAGTTTAACAAGATCCCCAGGTGGTTCTTATGTATAATAAATTTTGAGAACCACTGCTGTTCTAGTGGTTCCCAGAATTGGTCCCTAACCAGCAGCGTCAGCATTGCCTGGGAACTTGTTAGAAATGCAAATTATCAGCATGGGTTTGAATGGAAGGAGGCTGTTCAAAGCCCTGGTTTCTAGTTGTTTCAAAGTCGTTCTTTAACCAGTTGGTATTGCCCTCTTTTAATCTCTCCCCGCTCTAATCTTTTTATGACCTAAGTTATTACCCTCGATTAGTCTTCCTTGTGTTATGGATATTAGAGTTCTTTTATTAACCTCTCTGTTAGATTGTTAGGTTCTTTACAACAGAGGCCATGTCATATTTATCTGTATACGCCCCATAGTGCCTGATAGAGTGAGATAATGCACGTGGAAACACTTTGAAAGCTGTTAAGCAATTAGAGACCCTGCATAATAAGTATTTACCAAATGCATATTTCTCAAGATGTCTTACTGGGTTATAAATATATTTGATATCTTGAATAATTTTTTGCTATTTATGTAAAACTTACCCTTTGGGCTATTTTAACTACTGTCTGCTCTTTTAGTGTATAGATGGAGTCTTGGGTGGTGAAGATTATAATCAAAACAATATCAACCAATGGACTGCAAGCATAGTGGAACAATCCTTGGCCCATTTGGTTAAGTTGGGAAAAGCTTATAAATATATTGGTAAGTATCAGTTTTCTTCCTCACTAATTTATTCACCTTTGTGAATTTTTCTTAATTTAGAGAGTATATATGAATGGTATACACTTAAATTGGATATTAATAGGATATTAATAGGACTTATTGATCCAAAAATAATATATGATACTACCTAAAAAATAGAGACCTTTCACTACTCCGAAGCAGTCTGAACCACTGCCAACCATCTGCTTGTCCTGGGTAGCATCACCCTTTACGTTTGTATTAGTTATCTCTTTCCACTGAAACCCCCTCAGCTCTGCTGTCTTTCAGTTGCCCCATGCCTCCTTACTTGTAGGAATGTGAAGTTTCACTCCATAATTGTTTATAAAGGTGAATATTTTTTTTCATCTGTGTCTGTATTATGCCCACAGGACAAAGCACACAATTTGGCACAGGAATTTACTGCCATATAATCACCAGTGGTTATGGCAATGGGCAACAAACAGACTGGATCCAGTGGGATCAAAACCATGATAGTGGATAATCAAAATGATAGAGTTATTTTTTTCAATCTTTTTGCTGAATGTTTTGTTTTTGGTTATTTTTACAGATTTCAGAGCTCTGAACTGAGACACTGGCTATCTTTTGCTTTGTTTGTATGTGTTCTGACTCTATGGCTTTATTTTTAGTGACCTGTGCAGTGGTGCAGAAGAGTGCATATGGCTTTCACACAGCCAGCTCATGCTTTTGGGATACCACATCCGATGGTAAGAGATCTTAAAACTGATTTCAAACAAAATCCAACTTCTAGCAATGTCAGACAGTGCACTTTTTATCAAATGCTGATTTATCTCTTGTTAAATTCTGAAAAGAACTTTATCAAGACACTTGCTTTGTACCTAGTGACAAGTGTGCCTTCAGACAAATAGGAAATGTGAAGATTTAACTGACTGAAGGAAGTAGGATAGTAAAACCTATTGAAAACTGTGTATATATGTCTTGGCCATTTTGATGTTTTGCTGGTATTTGAAAGTTCTGTTTTCATGTGTTTTCAGGAACCTGCACTGTAAGATGGGAGAACCGAACCATGAACTGTATCGCCAGTGTTTTCGCCATTGCTATTGTCCTGTAACTGACTAAAAACGTTAGGCCAAAGCCATTAACTTAAGAATTTTCCAGTGTATCCTTTCTAAAAAGAGTAGTAGTTACTTATTAATGCTCTAGATGAGACGTGTGCAATATGCTTCAAAGCTATCAACGAAAACTGAATATTATAAGCAAGCATCTCATAGTAGGTTGGCAGATTATTTCATATTCTGTACAGGATCATTAAAATAGGAAAAACTGAATGTTAGCAAAAATGAATGCAGAAATATGGCATAATATGAAAATGTTATCTTATATTTATACCAGTTTTTCACTAATTATATGTACCTAAGGAAATGGAGGAATCCATTTAAACAATAAAACTCCTCTCTCTAGAGACGCTAACAGGGATAAACAGATGGTCAAAAAGCTACGAGGATAAATGTGGAGACAATAAGAATTAGTTAACACTTAAGTTTTTTTCTCCCCCCCCCTCACTTAGTTGTACATAAAATTTAGTGGAAAGTAATTGTCTTTTTTTTTTTTTCTGTCTACTACTATTACGGAAACCCTGGTGGCATAGTGGTTAAGTGCTGTGGGTGCTAACCAAAAGGTCAGCAGTTTGAATCCACCAGGCCCTTCTTGAAAACCCTACGGGGCAGTTCTATGCTTTCCTATAGGGTCACTATGAGTCGGAATCGACGGCAACGGGTTTGGTGTTGGTTGGTACTAATACCGTAGCAACTATGATTAACTTGTTTACCTTTTATGAGAATTGTTAAATCAATTTTTTTTTTCATTTCAAATGAATTGGATTTACATTTGAGTGTGAATTAAATCTGGTGACCTGAATTCCGTAGTTAAACAAAATTAGTTACAGTGTATGGTGAACAGCATATGACTCAAACAATTGCCTTGCAGCTCATTCATTTCATGTGGAACAAACATTTATTGAATTCCTATTATGGGCATATTTCTCTGCTAGGCATCACAGACATCAATATGCTGGTCAGGTTCTCGGTTCAGTTTGGCACCTGTTTAGTTGGAAAACTGTAGCACTTACATTTGGGAAAGATAAAAAAAGAGTTGTTTTACAAGAGAGGAAAAGTGAATCTGGTTGTCCATGTAGAAGTAAGCAAAATGAAAAGCACTTATTATTGCCAGAGAATTATAGATGTCATTTTAAGGATTGTTACTAGCAAGTTAAAAGTGCATAAAATATGCAACTGTTAGTTACAGGCCTTATTAGAAATCTAACTATCCTAGCAGTGAATTACATCATTGCTTCAGTTACAACCATCTGTAAATAATTTTAAATACTTGTTATGAGGGGTTCAAATTGGATGGAGTGAAGTATAAATTAAAAGTATACAGTCACTAGCAAGTTATCTAATAACTCAGGGCTTATGAAATATAAAATTTATTAAGAAAATAAAAGGTGAAAAATTATGGTACACACAGCTGACCACCAAATGCGAAGCCAATCTGCTATTTGACCTTGAAAACAAAATCAATTTTGCATACCACTAATACTAATACATATAGTGAAATCATGATTCATTGGAATTTTTTGAGGAAAAAGAAAAGCTTAGTATTAGTATTGACAATATTAAGGGAGTATCCTTCTAAGAATACTCTGTGCATGTTTGATGTTTGGCCGAATAACAATAAGTGTTCTGTGTTTAAGAAGAATATTTAGAAAATACAAGGATTCGGCTTAATGCAGTGATCTATGTTTTTGACATGTCAAAAATTCTCATAGCCATTACCTTTATGTTACTTTATGCTGCTGGCTTTTGTGCCCTTGAAGATTTTATTAGTGACCAAAATATCTGTGTAGTTAAGGCCCATTTTTGATTATTGTGGTATAGCTCTTTTTATACATCATTTTTGATTATTGTTACTGAAGCCTGATTTTAAAAAATCATTAAAACATACCTCGTGAACCTGCTATCTGCTCTGTTCCTAGTGAAAATATAATAAAGATTATCTGCTTGTGCTGTACTCTTGCTTCTGGATTATCATTAAATAGTTAAAGAAATGCCATTAAACTTTAAGAAATTCTGAAGAGGAGGAATGGGAAAGATAAATTAATATGGGACCACATAGATTGTACAGAAAAAATACCAATAAAAATAGCAACACGTACTCAGTATTCACCATGGTAAAATAATTACCAATAGCTTCCAGTTTATGCCTTTTATGATTTTAACATAAATTTTTATAAAAATAATTAGTGTAAAAATATGTTAACTATTGGCTTCTAATGATTATTTTTGGTAAGGAACTTTGTTCTACTTGTCAACTTAGAATTGAGTTGTTGCTGTTTTTTTCGTTTAATTAAGGGCTTTAAGTATGTGAAATTAGGGTATTCAAATGTAAGTACTAACTAGCATTTTTGTAAAGCTGTAATTTGTTTGTAAAGTACCGGTATTCTACCCTAAATGATGGTAACATCTCGTTACATTTTTCTCTAGTAAAAAGTACCTTTCTGCTCTTTTTTCCAGGTTGGATGTTATCTAATTATGAGTCATCAAATGTATTTCACCACTACATTCATCATCCCTTTTTTATTTTGTAATTGTTATAAAAATATATATAACAGTTGCGATTTAACATTTTTCACATGTACAGTTCAGTGACACCAATTACATCAATCATGTTGTGCAACCATATCACATTTTTAAAGTTACCTTTGGATACTTAGGATTATATTTTCAAAGTCTGAGTTAAAAAATTCTCTATTCTTGATCACAGTTTTTAAAAAGTGGGAGAAAAAATCTGTGATTCTTTATAGCAAATAAATTAGGTCTTTCTCATAGCAGATACCAAAACAAAGTTTGAAAGATAAAAATTTCACCCCGTGTGCTAGAATCTATCCAAGGAGAATTTGTTTTATAATCTGGAAAGTGGGCCTATATTTGTGACTAAAGAGGTTCACAGTTTCAGTATCTAGTGATTTGATAAGATTGACCTTAACACACTTATGAAATAACCCTGTAAAGGAATCTTAAACATTCAGCCCTTATGAGATTTAGATGGCCATCATTAATATGCATTAACCGCCATGGTCCAGAAGATTCTAGCCTACCCTATCTAGTTGCAAACCCTGTACTCTCTCACTGTGGTGCCACTTAATATCACTCGACATCATCCTTGGGTATATTGACAATACAGGCCTAGCTAGAAATGGCCTTTGCTTTATGAAGAATGCCTCTTCCCAAAATCACTTTTAAGGATCTCAGGAATGAAGCTGGGACTCTGTACAGACAGGTGTTACACCATTGGGATGGAATCATTCTTTCCTATAGGAGACAAAACACGGGCAACCACCCCACTCTGGGATCCTTAAAACATGAACACCATGTAGAGAAGTGTCTTTGCAGTTCCTCCTGACCAGATGCCTGGGCTTAAGCAATAATATATACTCAACTTTCACTGTGCCCACCCACTCCTAAAATACATACATTTTTATTTTATTCAACGCTTCATCTGTTTTATGTATGCCAGCTTCTAACTTGAGATATTTCAATCTGGGTTATTCAGTCAACAGAAGGAGAAGGGATCAGAGAGAAGCAGAAACACCTGGGTATTGTTAATGGCAGAACTGTTACCACAGCTGCTCTCTCCTCTCTCCCCCACCCTCCAGGCCAAGGAGGACTGTCCAATCACCAATACCAGCAACACCAGCAGCAGTGTCCATAATGGTGGCCAGCAGCAATTGTGGCAGAGCGAGTAGTGTACTAAGCCAGGGGCAGGTTGATGGGAATGGTCTACACTGGTAGACAGCATAGCTAGCACAAGGTGATAATAAAAAACAGACCAACACAGCTGTCAGGGTGGCTATGTATATGGCTTCCCTGGGCCCTCAGGCAAGTGCTTGCACCTCCCTGGGCCTCACTTTCCCGTATATGGTGGTGGAATTGGGTAGAAACACATCCAAGGTCTTTATTTAGCTTTGTTGTTGTTAGTTGCAGTGGAGTGGGTTCCCAATTTGTGGCAACCCCATATGTCAGGGTGGAGCTGCTCTATGGGGTCTTCAGGGCTATGACCTTTTGGAAGATTGCCAGGCCTTTCTTCTGAGGTGCCGAACACTTAACCATTTGTGCCACCCAGGGACTCCCTTTTTATTTAGCTTAAATATTTTATTAAAGGATGATTCTATACATTACTGATAAAATAAAATGCTCTTAAGATTGGAAAAAAAAAACAGACCAACAACCTGTACACGAATATTCATAGCAGCTTTATTCATAATAGTCAAAAACTAGAAACAGTTCAGATGACTTTCAGTGAGTGAATGGTATAACGAACTGTGGTAATACGTGGAATACTACTCAGCAAAAAAAGGAACAAACTATTGATACAGGAAACAGCTTGCATGAATCATCAGGGAATTATGCTGAGTAAAAAAGCCAGTCCCAAAAGGTTTCATACTGTGTGATTCCATCTAAGAAATATTTTTAAAATGGAGAACAGACTTTAAAAATAGAGAAAAGCTTACGGGTGTTTAGGGGTTAGAGATGGTGGGAGAGGGGGATGGGCAATGGAGGAGGATGTGGTTATAAAATATCAACAGAAGGAATTCTTGTGGTGTTGGGACTGTTAAGTATCTTGGCTGTGGTGGTGGATACACAAACCTACACATGTGATAAAATTGTGTAGAAACTAAATACACACACAGAGGAGGGCAAGTAAAATTGGAGAAATCAGAATAAGATCAGTGGATTTTATCAATTTCAATATCCTGGTTGTGATATTGTGCTGTAGTTTTGCAAAATATTACCATTGGGGGTAACTGCGTAAAGTGCACATGAGATCTCTCTGTATTATTTCCTATAACTGCATATGAACCTACAATTATCTCAATAAAAATTTTAATTAAAAATGAAGGTGAACCATAGGAATGCAAGATGTTAATAATATGAGAAAAATGTGCAGAGGGGAGGGGGTATATGAGAACTCTGTACTTTCTGCACAATTTTTTCTGTAAACCTAAAGCTGCTCTACAAAAATAGAGATTGATTTCATACAATCAAACAGAAAAAAAAAAAAAGCAGACCAACATTTAGGCAGTTTTATTATTGTCTTTAATCTCTACAGACAATGCACACCCTCATTGCCTGAACCCAGGGCAAACCACTCCCACCACTTCCTTTGGTATGTCACTGGGTAGAGGCATAATCAGAGACAGAGACAAAGTGAGATCCCAGAACAGCTAAGGTCTATGGCAGGAGTGAAAACTATGCCCACAGGGAACAGGCAGGTGATGTAAATGGTGTTACGAAAATCAGTTGCTAGAAACAGAACTAACTGAGCTCTGATGTCACCAAGTAATAATTTACTATATATGCGTAATATTGGAGATTATATTTTAAATTTGAAAATTTAAAACCAATGGAAATATTTTTAAATTTGTCTTTTGCAGTTCTTTACTCCTTTCGTGTGGAATCAAACATCTTCTCTTCAGCCCTAAGAGGTCAAAGTCAAAGTCTTATATTTCTCTTTGTAATGTGCAGTAAAGAATCTGGCCTTGATTTTTAAACTGGGAGCAATATATAGTTCGATTCAGTTTTGTCTTGAAGAAACAGCTGTTCACAAATGTAGGTGCTTCCAAACACGTATTCTATCTTTGCACAATGGTCTAGGGCAACTTCTCCAAAGGTATCTGTAGCATTCTGGTTGTTCAATGTAGTCAAATTTCATTTTCAGTGCTGCATTTTGTAAATCCAATTTGTTATTCTTCACTCACTCTTTCAATGGTAATTAAGAATGTTGTTGTTGTTAGGTGACGTCCAGTTGATTCCAACCAATAGTGAACCCATGTACAACAGAACGAAACACTGCCTGGTCCTGCACCATCCGCACAACCCTTGTCAATACTTAATAAGACTTTTCAGTTGTTGCCAATGTGATAGATTTGTATCTTGTAGTTGCATTTCCATAATTACTAGTGAAGTTAAGCTTTTTTTTTTTTCCATGTGATTTGCCATGTTTCCTTTTCTGTGAAATGTCTGCTCAAGTCATTATTCTATTTTTTGAGTTTTTATTTTCTTGTTATTTATAGGAGTTCTTTATATCTAAGGAGCCCTGGGGGCGCAGTGGTTAAGTGCTCTGTTGCCAACTAAAAAGTCAGCTGTTGGGACCCACCAGCCACTCTTTGGGAGAAAGATGTGGCAGTCTGCTTCCATAAAGATTTACAGCCTTGGAAACCCTATGAGGCCGTTCTACTCTGTCTTATAGGGTCGCTATGAGTGGGAATTGAGTCCACAGCAACGGGTTTGGTTATATATTCTGGATACTAGCTTTTTTTTTCCTTCCTGAAATGGCTTTTTATTAAACAGCAAAGCAGAATTGCAACACGATTTTTAAATGTTTGTAAATTAGGTCACAAGAGGGATGCAGAATATTTGCAGTATGACTATTATGTATTCAGACAGCTAAAGTCATTTAACAAATCTAACTTACACCAATACAACCATAAGATTATTCCATGATTAAAAGTAGCCCAGATCTAATAACCATAAACTGTATTTAGTGGATCTCTCTTCCTACTATAATTAACATTTTAACACTACTTCCGCTAGATTCCCTTTTTAAATGGAACTTACAACTGAATTTTCCATTTAGTAAAACTCTACAAATAGTTGGATTTACAGAAAATTCTGGGAGAAGTGGTGAGATAAACTACTGAGGAAGATTATCAATTAGCACACATGAAAATCTATCCTATTTTCATGATTCTGATATTAATAAACTCTTAAGGGTTTTTGCAAAGATGATCTTCTGGGTGCTGTAAATAAACCTTAAGAGACCAAACTCTTTCTCTTCCAGATTTGGTTTATATTAAGATAGTCAGATTTAATCTACCTTCATATATGTTAACTCAAAAAACCTAATCTGTGAAGATGACAACACAAATTTGGAACAAAAACATTTGGAGTTGGTTACTACTGCTTACCAAGTATTTTTCCCATCCTATTTCTGTTTTCTCCAAGATTTTCTATTTTAAACACACACAACCAGAGCTCACTTTTTTTCAGATACCAAGTTGGTCATTTTGTGCAGGAGGAAGTATTGAACAACGAATCTCCCCAATTTGAAAATTCATAGTTTCAAGGAACAATCTTCGTTTTTGTAGTCTCTGTTCTCAATTTATTAAAAGAAAAACCAACAGGCCTATCTAATTACTACATATAACAAATAACAGGCCCTAGCTGAGAGAGTTGGTTTGATTAAGTTTCAACAATGAGTTCAGGTTACTCTCATAAATGATTAACTATTAAAATTACTTTTACAAACGTGGAACCAACTTTTTTCTTCCTAAGGGGAAGGGAAATAGGAATGAAGAGGCAAATGGAAAAGAGGCACAAGATGGTGGACAGGATACACATAAAGCTGTGCATTCAGTACATGATTTTGGTCACTTTTTCACAACATGGTAGTTATTTTTCTTGTATCATCTTTTACTATGCCTGTAATAAAAGACACTGCTAAACCTAAAAATCAAAGAAAATTTGATAAAGCATTCATTTTCAAGTTTTCATAAATATATGCAATTCTAAGGCCTGTACAATATTTTTGCACATTTTCATAGACTAAGATAATACACAAACTCATAGAAGTCTCCCATTATGCTCTTAATTTTGCCTAGATCTGCCATTATCTTAATATTCAGTGAAGCCACAACGGTACTGTAACTTTTGGAATCTATTCAAGTTTTAAAGAAGAAGAAGAAAAAAAGCAGTAATTCCATAAAACATAGAGGATATTAACCTCTTATTTTCTTTTGCTTTTTGTGTCAGTTGTTTGAAAAACACTAAAAGCTGACATGAGGTTTTCCACATATTGTCCAAGAACTTGGTTTTTTGATTTTAGCTTCAGATTTTCTTCCTTAACTGCATCAACTCTTGCAGAGAGATCTTCAAGTGTGTGTTGGAGTTCTAACACTTGATTAATAAATTCTGTTTTTTCCTCCAGTTCCACCTGATTTTCAGCATCAACTGCATCCGTGTTGGCATTCATCATCTTGAGTAACAAACTCTTGGGCCTTGGATACAAAATCCTTGATGAATGGTCTGCCGTTTGGGGCACTGGGAGCGGGAGGGATCCGGATACTAGTATTTTGTCTGTAATGTATGTTGTAAATAATTTCCCCAGTCTTTTTCTTTCAATTTTTTTTAATCTTTTGTTGTAGAGATGTCTTAGTTTTTGATGTAACAGCTTTTTAGTGAGTTGTACTCTAAAGTCATAAAGATTCTCCTTGGTTTTCTTGTACAGTTTTTAAGCTTTTTTTCTTTATGTTTAGGCCTTTAGTTCAATTCAATTCCAGTTTATTTTGGTCTGTGGCTTGAAGCATAAGGATCTGCTTTTCTAGTTGAAAAGTCTGATGCTATTTAGTCCACTTATTTAGAATGTCATTTTTATCACATGCCAAGTTCACATACATGCCTGGGTCTGGGTCTGTTTTTGAGCTCTCTATTCTATTCCAGTTGTGTACATACCAACGCTTGTTGTTGTTGTTGCTGGGTGCTGTCAACTCGGTTCCAACTCATAGCAACCCTATGTACAACAGAACGAAATACTGCCCGGTCCCACGCCATCCTCACAATCATTATGCTTGAGCCCACTGTTGCAGCCACTGTGTCAATCCATCTCGTTGATGATCTTCCTCTTTTTTGCTGACCCTCTACTTTACCAAGCATGATGTCCTTCTCCGGGGACTGGTCCCTCCTGATAACACGTCCAAAGTAAGTGAGACGAAGTCTCATCATCCTTGCTTCTAAGGAGCATCCTGGCTGTACTTCTTCCAAGGCAGATTTGTTTGTTCCTCTGGCAGTACATGATATATTCAATATTCATCACCAACACAATAATTCAAAGGCATCAATTCTTCTTCAGTCTTCCTTATTCATCGTCCATCTTTAGCATGCATATAAGGCGATTGAAAACACTATGGCTTGTGTCAGGCTCACCTTAGTCCTCAAGGTAACATCTTTCTTTTTAACACTTTTAAAGAGGTCTTTTGCAGCAGATTTGCCCATCGCAATGCGTCTTTTGATTTCTCGACTGCTGCTTCCATGGGTGTTGATTGTGGATCCAAGTAAAATGAAATCCTTGACAACTTCAATCTTTTCTCCGTTTATCATGATGTTGCTTATTGGTCCAGTTGTGAGGATTTTTGTTTTCTTTATGTTGAGGTGTAATCCATACTGGCTGTGGTCTTTGATCTTCATCAGTAAGGGCTTCAAGTCCTCTTCACTTTCAACAAGCAAGTTTGTGTCATCTACATATCACACGCAGGTTGTTAATGATTCTTCCTCCAAACCTGATGCTCCATTCTTCTTCGTATAGTCTTGGATTATTTGCTCAGCATACAGATTGAATAAGTATGGTGAAAGGATACAACCCTGACGCATACCTTTCTTGACTTTAAACTACATAGTATCTCCTTGTCCTGTTCGAATGACTGCCTCTTTGTCTATGTACAGGTTCCTCATGAG